TTGCCTCATTTTTTCTAAGCTTTAAAGAAAAAGAAACTTAGTTCATTTTCCTGTCCAATTGTTGATTCCTTGTGTAGTCTCAGCATTTAGTCAACAGCTCTGAGCCTCAGTTTCCTTATCCATAAAGTGGGGTTTTACCTACCCCATCCCAAAGAATTGTTTAATGAGATGATGAAAGTAAATGAACTTTGTAAGTGGTAAAGTTCTACGCAAATTGGAGCCATAGAGAAAGAGACTTGCCCTAAGGTGATGGAGTGGCCAGTTCAAGATGCAGGCAGATGTTACTGTCCTTACATGGTAAAGTGGTAAATGCAGTTGTTTGTCTGATGGTGTTTAAGTACTGATTTAGCCAGGTGGCAGTTTGTGATGTGAAGAGTCAACGTTATTTTCTGAGTCCCAACCTCTTAGATCTGAGCGCCCCCTACTCTTAGTTTGCTGTATGTAGTGAATTAATGAGCGTGGGATTCTCTACTTGGGACAGGTGATATGTTATCCTTACATTACTTTTGATTAAGTCAAGTGTCCTGTTACTGATGAGGGAAGCGAAGTCCAAAGAAGGGCAGTGACTCGGTAAAGGTCTCATGACAATCAGGAACAGGACTAGAGCTGCAACTCAGGACTGTCCCCTTGGGCTAGTCATTCCTTGGTGACTCCTCAGGGGCAGGGTGGGTGGGACAGCCGTTGCCAGGTCCTAAAACAGCCTCCTGTTGCTTTGCAGAAACCAAAGCCACCTTTGGCCTCTGCTGAGGGCCCAGCGGTGCCGTCCCCGTCCCCACAGAGAGAGAAGCTGGAGCGCTTCAAGCGGATGTGCCAGCTGCTGGAGCGGGTGCCTGACACATCCTCATCCTCCTCCGACTCTGACTCCGACTCCGACTCATCAGGCACATCCCTGAGTGAGGACGAGGCCCCTGGCGAGGCCCGGAACGGCCGACGACCAGCCCGGGGCAGCTCCGGAGAGAAAGAGAACCGTGGGGGGCGGCGGGCTGTGCGCCCTGGCAGCGGAGGGCCCCTGCTCAGCTGGCCCCTGGGCCCCGCACCGCCGCCCCGGCCCCCACAACTGGAGCGGCATGTGGTCCGCCCTCCACCTCGAAGCCCTGAGCCTGACACACTGCCTTTGGCTGCTGGATCCGACCACCCTCTGCCCCGAGCTGCCTGGCTTCGCGTCTTTCAGCACCTGGGGCCTCGAGAGCTGTGTATCTGCATGCGAGTCTGCCGAACTTGGAGCCGCTGGTGAGTGGCCTGAACGGGCTGGGGTTCCCTTGCTCTTCCTCACTTGCTGCAGGTCCCCAACGTGATCTTCTGGGCCTTGGTGTTCTTTGTTAATATTTACAGGGAACGTATATACAGCGAAATCTAGAACCTTTGTGCATGGTGGAAACCTGTCAGAGAGGGAGAGCTCAGGAAAGAGCTCATGATAGGAAAAGGGCTCTGACTGCACCCTCTCAGAGGCGGGGAATTTATGAGAAAAACAAAGTCCTTCGTGTTGCTCCCAGGGAGCAGTGGCAGGTCAGCGGCAGGTGGTGAGTTCAAGCCTCCACTGAGCTTTTGGCTAGAAGCTGAGCAAGCGCTGCACCTCCAGAGCTCTCTCCATACGTACGTGCTGTTGTAGTATAAAGCTTAACACTGTTTTTTCTATATACGGGGTTTTTTCCATTTATGAGCTCAGTTAACCTTTGTAACAGTTTTCTAAAGTAGGGACTGTTGTTCAGATGAGGAGGATGAAGCCCAAGGTCATATGGTCAGGCAGTGGTAGACCGAATAATTTGAACATGAGCCCTCTGGCTCCAGAGTCTGTCTTTTGGTTAATATATTCAATTTATTGACTGTTGAGTATGTGCTGTGCGTTGTGCTAAGTGCTGTCGTTGCATTATCTCATTGATGTCACTCTTTCTTCTGAGGATGGTTTGCACATGCAAAAGTCCTCCTCTGGGGCAGCCCCTGCACTCTCAGGCAGCCATGCGTGGGTCTCCGTTTCAACTTGGGGCACTTCCTTCTCCCCTGGTGCCACCACCGGCACCCTCTGTCCATTCTGCCCTTCTCCTCCTGAGCTTTGTTCAGGAACATTGGTCCCCTCCATCAAAACGCCAAATCCCAGATTCCCAGTGGATGACATGGAGGCCCCTTGTGTGTTGCCAGACCTTTGTTCATGGCTTCATTTTCATGGGCCCTTCAGTTGCTGGAGTTGGACCAGGTTGGCCTATTGTATCTCCAGCACAGGCTCAGGGTGTGGAATTGCTCAGGAAGCATTTACTGAATGAGTGGATTTTAGCTCTTTCTCAGGCACTGACTGTAGACCCGTGTGCTACCTGATTTGTTTGGAAAGCACAGTGCGAGGTGAGTGGCTGGATTGGAATCTGCTTCTCTTCCTCTGGGATGAGGTGTTGAGTGCCCATCACTGCCTTCCAGTCTCTGACAGCGCCTGAGAGCGCTCGGAGGATGGCAGCCCAGTGTCTGGAGTCACGTTGTTTGGGTCAAATCTTGATCTTCCAACTCGGTGGAAGCTGCGTTCCATTGGGCTGGTTTCTCACTTTGAGCTTTTTTGTTCACCTGTAAAACCAGGATAACCAAAGCGTTTGCTTCATAGTGGGTGGGAAAGGAGTGCTGGTGGCACAGTGGTTAAGTTCGTAGCTGCTCATTGAAAGACAGGTGATTCAGATTCACGTGGCGATTTCTTAGGGAAAGGCCAGTAGTGGTGTGCTCCCTTCAGGATTACAGCCTGGAAAGTGCTGGGGCGATTCTATTCCTTTGTACGGCATTGTTATGAGACCAGGTCTCTTCCCCGGCAATTCATGACACCAGCGTGTGTGAAGAACTGAGGACACCCCGGAGCACTAAACGCCTCACCCATTAGTGTTGTTGACTCAGTTACCGGAATTTCATGAGAGCACAGACTGTTATGTTCTCTAAACCTATCTCTCTGCCCTTCAAGGGCTCCCAGTCGACCTGCAACATAGAAGCAAAGTTGCAGATACTGCAGGCCAGGGTGGATGGGTTTACTCTCTTTGTCCCTCTTGTTCCTTGAGAACAACACATTGGCTGAGTCCTCTTCAAGGCAAGCTCCATATTGGGCATGTGGGATCCACAATAGAAATAAGGCCTGATTCCTGCCTCCAGGCGGGAGAAACTGAATTGCAGGGTGGTTTTCATCTCAGGTCGTGGAGTCCGGCACCAGGCATTCATTAATAACAATGCCTGCTCTTTGTAATTGTGTGCATAGCCAGCTATACCTTTCAAGGCCTCAGTTTTCTTTCTTCTTTTTTTTTTATATTAATTTTAATAAAAATTTACAGAGACTTTGAATTTCCATTCATTCATTGTTACATTTTTCTCCCTGCCCACTCCTCCCCCCCAGTACCCGCTTCTCTTTGAAAAGTAAAAGAAAAGTTCCCCCATTGTTTTACAGTCCCTCCCCCAGGTTCACTCCACTATGCAGCCTTCGCCCTGGACTCCTGTCATGACAATAATACCTAATCACAAATCCCTTTTAAACAGTTTTCTCCCTCATCTGTTTCAGTGCAGTGTACATTATTGAACCTATCTTTCTCAGTCTCCCCCCAACCCCGATGTCAGTCCTGTTTTACAACAGTGGCACTATGCAGTATCTGTCCCTTTGTGACTGAGATATTTCACTCAGTAAAATGTCCTCCAGGGTCACCCATTTTGAATAATATTTCATGAGTTCCTTGTTTTTCAGTGGAGCGTAGTATTCCATTGTGTGAATATACCACAGCTTCTCTATCCGTTCATTTGTTGATGGGCACTTAGGTTGTTTCCAGCTCCTTGCTATCATGAACAAAGCCGCGATAAACATGTGTGCATAAGGCTCAGTTTTCTAATCTATAGCTTGGCATTGTTATTACTACTCAACCTTGTTGTTTGCCATCAAGTCAGAACTGACCCATAGCTTAACTTACCCTCCAGTGGGTTTTCAGAAGCAATAAATCACATAGTGGGGGATTGTCCATTCTTCTTCTAAGGATCAGCTTTGAACCATGTGTCTTTGGGGTTGCAGCACAGCTTCTAAGCACTAGGCCAGCAGAGCTCTGTACTCAACCTTATGATAATTCAGTGAGAAAATATTTGATGAAAGGACGAGGATGGAGGTGAGCGGGGCCTTTGGAAGCATAATGGGCAATGTTGGAATAGAGACAAGTGGCTTGGTTTGAGAACTTTGTAAGAAGCAAAATGACCTGGCTTTGGTGGTTACTGAAGCTGTGGAGAGAACAGACTTAATAAGTTTCTGGCATGGGAGCCTGGGGGAACAGTAGCACCATTCCCTGAGTTTGGGGACCCAGGGGAGCAGCAGTTTCCAGAGGATCGTGAGGGGTTTAGGTTTTGACATGTTTAAACCGAAACACAGCTGGGTCCTGCATGTCTAAAGTTCAAGAGGGATACAGAATTGGAAGCTCTCAATGTGTAGATGGCAGCCTTAGTTGGTGTAAGTTCTGGAAAGAGCAGCCAGAGAACTGAAGGCGATTGGGTGTTGACGGGTGTCCTAAAGACAGCACAGATTGAGGAAAGAGTAAGTGATGAGCCGAATTGAATGTTGGTGTGAAAGGACAAGGGAGTTCAGGGATAAAGGAATGGCTATTAATACGAAGGTGAGGAAGTGAGGACCGAGTGTGGGAAAGAGGTAAGTGGGAGGCGGGGCCGGTGAGCAGTGTGTGGACGGAGCAGGAAGTGGCAGGCTTTCCTGCTCGGTGGCTTTGATCTTCCCTTGGAACTGGGAACCAGGATGGTCTTCTGAGGGGGGAGAACGAAGGCAGTCAGGGGATGGAAAGAGGGAGATGGTTGAATTTGAGGCTTGGGTTTTTGTGTTTTTTATTACTTTTAATAAACATTTACAGAGATTTTGGAATTCCATTCATTTGTTGCTGCATTTTTCTCCCTGCCCACCAGAGGCTTAGGGTTTTTGAGGGTTTGGGTAAAAGAATGAAGAAAGGAAGGGATTGGAACGAGGGGTCAGGTCCCATTAGGGCTGTAAGTAGAAGCCTGGAGATGGACAAGTAGAGACTTGATGACACCAGGAAGCCCAGGGAACTTCGAGAGGCAAGAACTGGTTACGGTTGGCACCCAGGCGGCTGTGAGCCCATGGACCGCAGTTTGGCCTGGCCCCATTTACTGTGTCCCTTCGGTAAGAGGGAGGTTTGAGGACTTTGGAAATAGTTGGAGTTAAAGAGAAGGTGAAAGAACCTTGGAGCTATGCCTTTAGAGATCAAGCCTAGCTTTCCCAGAATGTTTTCCCAGACGTTGGCCTCTTAGAAGTTCTTTCTACCCTTTTGCCTCAGTGCCATGTTCTAGCTCAGACAGAACCTGTGTTCCCTGTTGCTCTCGTCGTGAACTCTCACACAGTCCTGTTGGATATTTGGACACAGGCTGTGTGCCCAGTGACCACTGTATTTCCTTGTGATACTGCATCTTCATAGCAGCCTTTAGTAGGTACCATCCTTCTCCTAGTCCTGCTTTGTAAAATGGAATTCCAGAGAAGAGAGGGTCACCCAAAACACAGAGGAGGCAGAACCGGAATTCAGACCCCCTCACTCACCCTGGGCCTGGATGGGCTATGGCCAGAATTCCAGCCCCCCGGCTTTGACTTGCTGCCTCCACCTCAGCCTCCTCTAGCCCCACTCTTCTCACTCAAATCTCACGCTTCACCCGCTCTACTTAGTTGTGGAATCTTGAATTAAGTTTCTTATATTTTTCTTAACTACAAAAAGGAGATACTGATAATGGTATTTACCACCAAGGGCTGTTTGTGAGGTTAACTAATTAATGCACTCATAGCACCTGGCCCATTGTAACCCCTCAGTAAATCTTGTACTAGTGCTGTAGTCCTCCTTGTTATTGCTCTTATCCTTGTTACAGCGAATTGCCCTTCATTCCTGCTTCTCAGAGTTGTTGTGTTTTTTTTTTATTTCTGTCTTCTTGGCCTGAACTCAGATGTTGCCAGTCGGGAACACACACTCCTCTACCTCTCCTCCCTTTGCCCAAATAACTAATGCTTCCCTCCCTCAGGCATTATCTCCGCTGGAGACTCCCCTGTTCCCGCTTTCACCCCAGGTTCCCACAGTCCCCCTGCTGTCTCCTGCCATGACCCTTATCTCCCTAGTTACTGCACTCTCTGTCTCTCCCCTGATTGTGTAGCGGGAACGCCATCCCTTTATCTTCACCGGCTCCATGCCCAAGAGGCCAGGCGGTTGGCATTATGAGAACCTTCAGTATCTGTTGCTTGCCTCACTGAGGTTTAATCCAAGGCCGGGTCATGCAAAGGGACCGAATAGCTTCAGCCCAGAAAGGCTAGGGGAGACTGTTGTTGCAAGAGGAGTTTAGGGCTGAGCCTTGAAGACCCTGGATTGGTTGGCATTTCTGGCAGAAGCACAGGAGGTGCTAAAGCATGTTGGTACTGGAGAGTGTTGGGTGTCTGCAGGAGGGTAGGTGGTTTGGCCCAGGTCTTGTGTAGAAACACAAGTTTGGGCCTGTGGGTGCCTGCTGAGGGAGGGATTCCCCTTCGAGTCATTGAGAACCCAGAGTGTTTACAAGCGATAGTGGCATTTAGGCTGGGGTTCAAGACTGGAGCAGAGTGGGCAGGAAAATGTTTTGGATAATGTAAGATTTACATGAGAGAGGGAAGAGTAAAAGCATGTGGAGTAGTTCTACTCTTTGTTGTTGTTGTTTTTATGTGCTGTTGAATTGCCTATGACTCATAGTGACCCTGTATACAATAGCCCTAAATCCTGCTCTAGTCTGTGCCAACCTTATTGTCTCTAACATACGTACCCCCATTATCCCAGTCACTGAGTCAGTCCATCTCATCGAGCGTCTTCCTGTCTCGTGCTGTCCCTCCACCCTCCCAAGCATGACATCCCTCTCCAAGGATTGGTCCCTTCTTGCACCATGTCCAAAGTATATCAGACAAAGCTTTAGAATCCTTGCCTCCAAGGAGCAGCCTGGTCTCACCCTCTCTAGGATGAACTTGTTTGTTCTCCTAGCAGTCCATAGTATATTCAACACTCCAGCACCACAGATGAAAGGCATTAATTCTCCTCCTATCATCCCTAGTCATTGTCCAGCTTTCGAGTACATAGCGAGTGATGGCAAAGACCATGGCCTGAATTAGGCGCACCTTGGTCTCTAGACAGAAATTGCTACTCTTCAGTACTTTGGAGAGGTCTCTGACAGCAGACTTTTCTCATGCACTTCATCTTTTTATTCCCTGGCTGCTGGTACCAATAGTGTTGATAGTGGAGCCAAGCAAACTAAAGCTGTTAACAATCTCAGTCTCTTCACCATCGGTGATGCTGCCATTCGGTCCAGTGCTGGGAATCTTTGTTTTCTTGATGTTGATTTGTCACGTTAAAAAAAAACCCCAAACAACAAACCCTCATTGCTGTTGAGTTGGAACCAACTTGTAGCTGACCCTCCAGTGTGTTTTCAGAGGCTATAAATCACACGGGAGGAGCTGGTGAATTCAAACTCCCTGCCTTTGGGTTGGCAGCTCCACTCCCTGTCCACTAGGCTCCAGAGCTCCCTTCTATCATGATGTTGTTGGGTAGCATCGAGTTGATATGACTTGTAGTGACCCTATGAACCTTGCTCTGAATCTTGGCCTAGCTGAGCCCTCTTCATGGTACAGGGTTGCTCTTAAGTCACATAGGATCACTGTAAGTTGTAATTGACTTAATGGCACCTAACAATACTTGTTTCTCTCTCTGTTGAACAAAATTAGTCTTAATTTTTTTGAAAGCAAATTACAATCAAGCTATAACCATGTCTGGCAAGAATGTAATAACGCTTGTCGTGTGTGTGTGTGTGTGTGTGTGTGTGTGTTTAATGATCATAAACTTTATAATACTATATTTATAGATTTTATATTTTTCACCTGCCAGTTTTATGACATCAGTTATAGTGTGCAGCCATCACTAATACCCATCACCAAAATTTTCTGTCATGATGAATAATTTTTTTTTTAAGGTTAATGGGCGCTTATGTGAAACAATTTTGGTTTGAGGTGCAAAGAGGCACTCATTTGAAAGAAAATGCAGGTTGGCTATCAGTTACACTGTGGATAAGACGTGTATCATCACCCTTAGGACTTCTTGAAGGGAAAGCTCTTCAGAATCATGGGAGGGAAGGTGAGACATGGGATGTAAACTTATCCCCCTGTTACGGTCACTCAGTCCAGGGAGCCTCTATTCTAGTAAAAGAGAATTTCTCACACTGGGTTTCCAAGGAATTTTAGTGTACCACAAAAAACTTTGTGTTAACAAATATATTTGCTTGGGAAGAGGTGAGGAAGGAAGGGTTTCCTGGTGAGATAGGTTTGGGATGATTTCTTGTGCACATTGGGGTAGCCAGGGTTCTTGTTGTGTGCATTGGGACAGCCAGGGCTCTGGTGTGCACGTTGTGATAGCCTAGCCAAGCCTTGTCTGCGCGTCAGGATAGCCAGGGTTCTGGGAAGTGTGAAGCCTATTTACATTCATGTAGTCCTTGATTGACTTTGTAGCTTCAGTACTGAGCCTAGCAGGCCTTTTAAAGCTCTTTGAGGGAAGAAATGAAAAATTGCAAAAGAATTGTGTCGAGGGCATGCTCAGAAGAAGCTTCAAGTTGTCCACACAGATGGCTCGATGCCATTCATTCATTCACTCACTCAGCACATGTGTAGCGACTGCGCTGGGCTCAGGGTGAAGAAATAGAGAAACCAGAGACACATGGGCCCCTCTGGTATGGACATTCCAGTTAAAGAGACAAAATAATTAGATAAATAAAATGTTAGAGCTGTAAGTCAAGCCTCTGACAGCTGGCCGGCTACCTGGGGCAGATGAGCGTGGAGGCCAGGGCTTCTGGGAGAAAATGAGAAATGTCCATGAGCTGCCATAACCCGGCAAGGGAGGAATTGAACAGCCCAAAGAGGGAGGTGGAGCCACCGAAGGAGACCCTTTGGTGTTACATCAAATGCAGTGTGTAGGGTGTTTGTATATTTGGCAAAATGCTTTATAAGCTGGAAGGCTCACAAGCTATAATTACCTCATTTGATCTCACAGCAGTGCTGTGAAGCGAGTAGAGACTGGGTCATTATCTTCATTTTATAAACGAGGCTCAGGAAGAGGAATAGACTTGCCCAGGATCCCACATCCACATGGGTGATGGACCTGGGCCCCAAACCCAGGGCCTTTGGCCATGAGCTACTTGCTGTTTTGTTCTCTATCTGGGCCAGGAGAAAGAAGAACCTTTGGGGTGTAGGATGGTTTGTGGGTGCTCTGGGAGCTGAAAACTGGTCTCTGTCTCCACCTTGTGGCCACTAGGTGCTATGACAAGCGTCTGTGGCCTCGAATGGACCTGAGCCGTAGGAAGTCGCTGACTCCACCCATGCTCAGTGGTGTGGTCCGGCGCCAACCCCGGGCCCTGGACCTCAGCTGGACAGGTGTCTCGAAGAAGCAGCTCATGTGGCTTTTGAACCGACTGCAAGGTAGGATGGGTAGCCAGGTGGTATAGGGTGGGGAGAGGCATGGCCCTGGGACAGGGCCCTCCCGGCACTGGCTTCCTGATCCCCTGCCCAGGCCTGCAGGAGCTGGTGCTCTCCGGCTGCTCCTGGCTCTCAGTCTCCGCCCTGGGCTCAGCCCCACTGCCAGCCCTGAGGCTCCTGGACCTCCGCTGGATTGAAGATGTTAAAGACTCCCAGCTCCGTGAGCTGCTGCTGCCTCCACCCGACACCAAACCAGGTGTGTGGCCTTGGCTTGCTCATCTGTATACTGGATTGGGCACAGTGTGGGTATGAGACCGCTGAAGTCTCTTGATTCACATTGAATGTTAAAGCATTTGAGGAAGGAAAGGAGCACGTGACCATGAGGCCAGCCTAATGATGGAGTGGTTAAGTGGCTGACTGCTAGCTATTTCAGCTCACCTGCATCTCCACGTAGGACAGGTAGGCCAGTGGGCTTCCCTAAGGAACTACAGCTTCAGAAACCCATGAGGCGGTTCTGCCCTTTCCAGAGGGTCTCTGAGAGTCACCGTTGATGACAGTGGGTTTTTTACTTGTTTGTTCATTCACTTGCTACAAACTGGACCTCGTGACAGGAGTGACAAGGAACAGGGCAGAAGTAGATAGAACCACTGCCCTCCAGTAGAGGGAGATAATTATGTGATGAGACACAAAATAAGATGAGAGAATGAAGAGTGAATCCTGGGAGAAGCGAGGGCCGTCCCAATAACGGGGACATGTAATGCTGGCCAGGGGGCGGGGTCTCTTCCTGAGGTGACAGTGATGCTGCTTGTGGCCTGTCAGGCCCCTTCTAAGGAGGAGCCAGAATTCTGAATAAATTTTTCTGTGAAAAGGTTTGATTTTCCAAATGGCAACAGTAATTTCTAGTAAGTGAGCATTCCTCTGTAAACAAAAAAAACACAAATAGTAAGAACAGGGCTGAGCTAGAGGTTTGGGCTATGACCCTGTGGCCTAAGTATGAGTGAATAATTTTTTTCAAGAGAATACAGAAATAGGTAGTCAGTCAGCTTGAAGGGGGTTAATGGGAACTCCTTACTCAGCCGCCTCTTGCCCTGCCCTCCCCAGTCAGGTTCAGGTACTCTGTCAGGTGACGTCACCTCAAGTTGTTGAATGAGCTCTGCATAGGCTCCAACTAGAGCTCTGGAGACCTCAAACTGGGTGGCCTCAGTCTCCAGTCTGGTAGAACCTCAGTCATAGAGAAGACAGGACCCCAGAAACAGAGGTCTTGGGGTGAGGTGCGCGAAGGCAACCTAAGGTGTGAAGTGAGGGAAGCCCTCTTTGAGAAGGTGCTGTTGGATTGTTTGATCTGAGTCTTGAAAAGGACAAGATTTTTCCAGGCAGAGGACAGTCTGTGCCACGCCCTGGGGAGTGTGAGATGGTTTCTGACTGAAGGGTTGCTGAGAGCTGAGGCTGGACAGGTGAGCAGAGGCCAGTCACCTCAGGGCTCACCAGAGGTGCATTGCTGGGGTGGGAGACAGGGCTGGTGGTTCTGACTAGAGATGGGGTGCTCCCAGGGTCCTCTCCAATCCCCTAAACTGTTGCGCTCTGCTCTTTTGATGATCAGTACTTCACCTCAGCCCTCTGGCTACTTCTGACCTCTCAGCCACTCTGACAAGCTGTCCCTGTGTTTTGACCCCTTGGCTAAGTGCTTTGTAGCCCCAGGGTGCTGACTTGCTTTACACAGAATGCTGTTCATCTAATTATCTCCTCATCTTCCTTCTAGATTCTACTTCCTTCTAGAAGCCCTCCCTTATCACCCACAAAATTCCTGTCACATTACCCCACTCAGCTTGTTCACTGTTGTGAAATGAATCTCTTAGTATTTGTTTCCTCTCACTAGGTTCTTTTTCCATTTGTTTGTTGGAGGTGAAAATATTCATGCCCAGTCCTTTGGCTATATGATGACTTCATAGTCTCCGCTGGTTGACAAGCTGCCTAAGGGCAAAGACAGGGCCAGGGCACTATATCTTCTCAGTGGTGTGAGCAGCAAATGTGTATTGAATTCATAATAAATCAGACAAACACAGGACCAAGAGGGAAAGCTCTATTTTGTTTGTGGACATTAGGGTCTGCATTTCAGAAGGTGAGAAAGGACAGGCTGTAAGACTGTTCCTTTAGCCTGAATTCATTTCTGTTTGGGGTCCCTTTATCAGGACTGGGGGGGGGGTTGGCAAAAATGAGGCTCGCAGGCCCTCAAGATCTGTTGTGCATCAAACAAACAAAACCACTCCAAGGCTGTGGATTCAAACTGCTGACGTTTTTTGTTAGCACTACGTCACCAGAGCTCCTTTGTTGTGCATGTTGTTGTTGTCATGTGCCCTGGAGTCAATCCTTTCCTGAGCCAACCTCATTGACACACCTAACCCCATTGCCACAGTCACTAGTTCATTGCCACAGTCACTAGTTCAATCCATCTTGTCCAGAATCTTCCTCTCTTGCATTGACCTTCTACCTTTCCAAACATGATGTCCTTCTCCAAGGAGTGCTCCCTCCTGGCAGCATGACCAAAGTATGTGAGGAGAAGTTTTAAAATTTTTGTTTCTAAGCAGCAACTAGTTCATCTAGTTCAGTACAAACCTGTTTCATCTCTTGGTGGTCCATGATATGCTCAGTATTCTTCCCCAGCACTACTCAAAGGCATTGATTCTTCCATCATCCTTATTCATTATCCAGCTCTCAAATGCATGGTGAGACTTTATACCCACCTTCCTGTTTTTAGCCTTCCTGGTAGGAAGCATAAAGTCTTGCTCTCTTTTTCTTTTCACTTGCCTTCACCCCTTCTGCTCGCTGCCTGGTGTTCCTCCTCTCTCAGTCAGCACCATGTTAAAATCTTTGAAGGCCCAAGTACAGTGCTGCCACCTCAGGAGAATCCTCACTGACGCTCACATGTCACTTCAATCCCAAGGTGACCTTCTCTACTTTCTTAGCTCTGGGTCGAGGGTGTCTGTAGCAGCATCTCTTAGGCACACAAGTTGCTGAAAGACAGAGTGGGTGGAATTCAGGACTCGCACTGTCCAGTGCCCACAGAAGTGGCCTGGCAGGTGACAGAAGTCACATGCTGGCATGGGATATTAGGAGCCATGTCCAGTGGCCATCTCCAGCCAATCATTGCTTGCCAAGTCTTAAGATTAAAGAAAGTAAAAATATTTTTTGTGATCATTTACAAATCATTATTGGTTTTTTCTAATCATTCTTAGTAATTTTCAATAACATTAATTACCATTGATTAATGTAATTAACTAATTACAATGTCTAACTAGCCTCTTATTGTATATTGCTTTTCCTTTTACCTAACTTTATTAATTTTTACTCCTCTCATCCTCTGGTCTTGAGATTTTTTTCCAAAGGAAAAGCTCAGTAACGGAATTTCATTCTAAAAATACCCTTTTAAAAATAGTGGTAAAATCCATGTAACAAAACATTTGCTGTTTCAGTGATTTTTTTTAAGTGTAGAAGCTGGGACAGAATATCTTCTTTCCACATCAGTTAAAAAACATAAATACCATAGACTCCATAAACTACTTGGCTGGTTGGGCTCGGGAGCTGTGACATCTGATCTCATTTATCTCAGGCCTTAGAGACACCGCATTGTGCTAGCAGCCTGGACACAGCGAGTCAGCAGACCGGGGTTTCCTGGCTGTCTTACTTCATTTCATAGTCATGTGCTCTTGAGCAGATAGTTTAATGATTTGAACCTGGGTTTGCTCATCTGTATACAGGAGTGGTGATCAGATAACTTGACTCCTAAGGCGAGATCTGAACCAGTTCATTCCACTTCAGTTCCCGCTTGAAAATTTGCTTCTCTATCTCAGACAATGTAGATTTTACCAAGATGCTTCTCCCTCTCTTTTCCTCTTTGGGATCCTTCGAGATCCCCTATGACTAACAGAATGAGTTTCTGGTTAAAAGTGTAGGTGCAGGCTTAGCATATCTTGGGTGGAAATAAATGTAAATTCTCAGCTGGGGGTAGGAGGGGGTGTGAGCCCCTGCCAGGCTCTAACCTAAACTATGGGAGTGTCTAATCAAATGATTCCTTTGAAGCAGTCCTGGGAATCCTGTATCGTGTCTGTAATTTGAGAGTGGAAACAAACCAAACAGGAAAAACTTTCTTAAAAAACACAAATGTTTTAGGGGTAAACAGGAAAGGTGTGCCCCTTTTTACTCTGGAGCCAGGGCCACAAGGGTCTTGAGCTTGGACGTGAACACCAGGGACATTGGTTAAGTGCAGGCTGAGCTTAGAGGGTCACAGGCTCGTGAGACAGGTTTGGCATGGAGTTTGGCTCAAGTGTTTGGGATGAAGGAAGAGATAGACGCTGGGACTAGGGCCTTGTAGGAATAACTTTGGGCTTGTTATCTGGAGGTACAAGTGAGTCCCTGCAGAAGGACATGGTGCTTGGCTAAAAGTAGAGAGTAGGTGAGAAAGAGAAAGGTCTTCATGTAGTTGAACTGGGTGGCTTCGGCCATGGACACACACAGTTATGAGGCTGAGGCAGGACGGGACGGGACAGAGGTTTATTTTTCTACATCAGGAGCCTACTTGCTGGCACCATACACCAACAGCACCACCACCAGGGAGATCATGAATTTGTTTTGAAGTGCCCTCAGGGGAAGACACGACACCCTTTGTGTTTGAGAACCTCTTTTTGATGCCATGAGAGATGGGAGTGAGTGAGGAGGCAGCTCTGGCAGGGTTTAGTTCCACTCAGAGTGTGACTTCGTCAGTCTCACTCATACTCGTTGCCATCAAGCCAGGACCTCGCTGACTCCCCCAGCAGGTTTTTAGAGGCTGTAAATCGCAGAGAGGAAAAATAAAGCCAAGCCTCTGTTGACCATTTCTTGAGCAAAGTCAGCTGTTGGATGAACTTTATTCAACAGTTGCTGGGATCTAGCAGTGAGATAAAACTATGAACAAAAATTAGAGCCTTCATAAGGCTGGCATTCCGGACGGAGAGGAAAGTTTAATAAAAACAAACAAACAAACAAGGAACATAAAATATGTCGTGGTGAGGAAGCGGAAGAAAAGGAATGCAGGGAAGGATCAGAAGCGTGTGAAACCTTACAGTCCCGTGTAGAGGAGCTCTGGGACCCTCAGTGAGGGCGATCTGCGGTGGACGCATGAGGTCCGAGAGGTGTGCTGAGGTCGGGGCATTTGGGTGAAGAATGAAGTGGGGCAGAAGGTGCAGCAAGTCGAGGCTCCGGTCCAGCGGGAGAAGGGTCAGTGGAATGGGGGGAGTGGGTGCAGAGGCACTGCTAGTCTAGAAGCTTGAGCACAGGAGAGGGAGTGAACCAGAGTGTTGACTCCTGTCTGTGCACCCAGGCCAAACCGAGAGCCGTGGGCGGCTGCAGGGGGTCGCTGAGCTGCGCCTGGCCGGCCTAGAGCTCACGGATGCCTCCCTGCGGCTCCTGCTGCGCCACGCGCCCCAACTGAGTGCCCTGGACCTGAGCCACTGCGCCCATGTCGGGGACCCCAGCGTTCACCTCCTCACAGCCCCCACCTCCCCACTTCGAGAGACCCTCGTGCACCTCAATCTCGCTGGTAAGCATGGTGCCCTGTCCATCTCCCCTGCCCGTTGGCCCCCAGGGCCACTGCCTCTCCAGCGATCACCTGGCTGGTCTGAATTGCCTCTGCTATATCCCCAGGTTGCCACCGCCTCACGGACCACTGCCTCCCGCTGTTCCGCCGCTGCCCACGCCTGCGCCGACTGGACCTGCGCTCCTGTCGCCAGCTCTCACCCGAAGCTTGTGCCCGGCTGGCAGCCGCCGGGCCCCCAGGCCCCTTCCGCTGCCCAGAGGAAAAGCTCCTTCTCAAGGACAGCTAGTTGGGTGCCCCCCACCCTTCCCCAGGACTCATCTGGAGCCTGGGCCTCTGGCTTTCATTTCATCCCCTGCCAGGAGGCCGTTACTCACCTCATGACTGGGAATTGCTGAGTCTTCTGACTTGGGGTTCCTGACCAGGAACTAGAGCCAGCCTGCCCCCTCTTCCCCCTGCACTGATATCTCTGGGGGTCTCTCCTTCCCATCCCCTCCCCCTTCCACCTACTTCATTGTCCATCCCCTGGGGGGAGTGGGTCAGAGGTACTGGGGGGTGCTGAGCCAAAGGGATGGTGGGAGGGGGGTTCAGGTGCAAGTTGGAGGGGGGAGGGGAAGGGGAAGGGGATATCTGCACACAGGATGCTGGGAGCCCGGGGACTGGGGGAGGTGGAGGATGGGCTGGGGGGAGGGGGGCAGAAAGCAGAACATCTAGGGTTCAGGGAACAAGAAGACCTGATGCTTGGAGTTGGGGGTGGGATGGGGGGGCCAAAAAAGGGAAATCAGAGGATCAACTGGGGATCCAGGTGTCAGAGGTAGGGGTGCCAAGGGAAACCAGAACTGAGTATAGGGGGTAAGGGAGACCAGGGCGGATGTGGGGGCAGTAATACCCCTTCGGGGTCACCCCTTGCAGTCCCCCCCTCCTCAGATTTCAGTTTCTTTCTCCCACCCCTGACTCCTTGAACGTCACTGACAATGGCAGCTATTGTGAGGAGTGGGGGCCGTGGTGTTCAGCATGGCCCAGGGGAGTGGCAAGGGGTGCCCCAGCCCCCTGCCTACCTCCCTGCACAATACTTGAACATTCATCTGTACTGAAGTGTTACTTGAACCGGGGAACCTCGGACCTGGGGGAGCTGGAGTGTGAGGGGCCGGGACCAGCCTGGACTAAGACTGGTCCCCTGGGCACCCAGTCTGGACTGTGCCACCCAGGATCTTGCTTTACTGTATCGCCCAGCCCTCCCTACGCGAGGGGGCGGGGCCGGCCCAAGGATGGGGACGATGAGGTTCCTCCAGCGTGGCTTTTCCCACTCTTACCGTCATGGAAACTTGTACCTATTTGCCCAGGGAACTGCCACTCCTGGTTGCCATGGAAATAGCAGCCAATGGACACCTCCCGATGCCAGTGCTAAAAGCTGGAAATGGCCCCTCTTAGTTGCCATGGGAACTTAGTAACAGACTCTTGGCCCTTCCTCCTCGCCCCTTCCTCCAGCGTGGGGGTAGGGTGTTGGGAGTTGGGGGAGGGATCGGGTCAGGTCCCGCCCCTCGACCCGGGCCTGCCTAGGGAGCCAGGTTGTACCAGTTGGGGAGGGGGGGATCTATCCACATACCTCAGGTAACTGGGAGGTGTACGGGTGGGGGGAGGGACTGGGCGGACCAAAGGCCGGAGGGGAGGGGGCCTGGGGAACGCGAACGGAATTGCGGATGGAGCCGCTTGGGGAAGGGAGGAGGCAGCCCGGTGGGGGGGCAGGTGGGGTACCCAGCCGGGCTGGGCCCCTGGGCCCCCGAATCTATACAACACGGTTTGCTATAAAACTAAAAATCTTCCAGCCGGGGCCACCGAGTTAGTGTGTCTGTCCGTGGCGTTGGGTGCGAGTGTCGGCGTGCAGAGCTGACGGGGCTTGTGATCCTGCGGACCTAGCGCTTTTGGGGTTCCCCTGACCTGAGGCTTTAAGGCCTGTGAGCACCCAGTACATGGATTGGGAACCCCTGCGCTCACCTTCCTTGAGTTCACTTTAGAAAAGGATTCTTGGGCATCTCTGGATATTTAGGTGTGTTTTCAGGGTATCAGGGCTGCAAGTCACAAATGTGGGCTGGGGATTCACTTAGGTGGGGCTCAGATGCTGCATGACCCCCCCCCCTCAGGATCTCTGCCGACCAAGGCTGAGGGGGGCTGGGCCCCCCGGCTCCACCCCGTCATGTGGACGCCCCGGCTCCGCCCCCGCCCTAGTTCCTGTTTCGGCCTCCGCGGTCCTTTGGCCCCTGGGGCGCCCGCCGGCTCCAGTTCTTCCTGCTGCAGCGGGGCCACCCCTTCCAGGGCGCTCTCCTGCCTTAGTGATGGGGCTGCTATCCGGCGTGGGCTGGCCCTGCCGGGGCTCCCAAAGTGTTGCGGCCCTTCGGTGACCGTCTGGGTACAGACGTCTCCAGGATGAAAGGCGGGGAGGGGGACGCGGGCGAGCAGGACCCGCTGAACCCCGCGGGCGACAGCCCAGCAGCCTCGGCCACCTACCGAGAGTTCGTGCACCGCGGCTACCTGGACCTCATGGGGGCCAGTCAGCACTCGCTGCGGGCGCTCAGCTGGCGCCGCCTCTACCTCAGCCGGGCCAAGCTCAAGGCCTCCAGCCGCACGTCCGCCCTGCTCTCGGGCTTCGCCATGGTGAGGGGCGGAAAGGGGGCGCACGGGTGGGAGCGATGCAGATGGGGGCCCAGGGTCAGGAATGAAGCCAACAGGTAGTCAGGGGAGCTACAGATAGGACAGAAGAATAGGTAGTTGTTTAAGGAGGCAACAGGAAGAGTCCCAGGGATGCACAAGTCTTTTTTTTTAATTATTATTATAAGGGAGTGTATTGGGGGCGCTGTACACGCGAGTGCATGTGAAAACGCTTCCAGGAGCATAAAGAGGACAGTGGGGAGGACAAAAGTCCGAAAAAGCGTCATGGTGGAGCGGGATTGCCGAGCGGGTTAAATGCAACAGTGGAGCTGAGAGGTCCAAGAGCAACACAGCCCCGCCGCCAACGTTATTTTGGTCTCAAGTCTCAAAGGCACCGGGGTAGGGGAAGCTCTGCAGGGCTGGGAGAGGATGAACTGGATGGAGGGGGTCAGCCAGCAGGAGGAGGTGGGCCCGCCCATCACAAGGAGGGTGAAGACTCCCTTGAGGCTCAGAAGGGTGTTTAGCGTTGCCCAGGAAGCTTTGAGAAGAGAAGGTGCCTGTGAGGAAGGGTATGGGGAAGGAAGCCGATGTGGAAGCTGATAAGTGATTCCCCAGTTGATAAGCTGCAGGCGTGGGAGGATGAGCATTTAACGGTCCCTGCAGTTGCCTTTTGAAGGCCTCAGAGTGAGGAGTTCGGCACACAAAAATTCTCGCTTCCCCTTGAGTTTGGCCAGCTGTGTGACCCTGGACGGGGCCCCCTCCCATCTCCCCAGGCCAGTGGGAATTCAAGTGAGATCATGGAGGGTGTGCCCTCCACAGCTTGCCAAGAATCTGCCTTAGAATGAGCTGATTCCTGTCATCAGGCATCTTGTAGCCAAACCAGTTAAAGCAGGACACACGGGAGATAGCTCAAGCCTAACAAGTTCACTGGGCAGATGGGGAAACGGAGACCCAGAGTGGGACAGGCGTTCTCATTGGATGAGGGATTCAGAATGAATTAGAACCGATGGTCTTTAGACTATTGGTCATTGGCTTCTGCCACATTCACGACACAAAAAGGAGAACCCTAATTTGAGTGACATCTTGGAGGTTTGCCTGTGAATGAGAAGAATATGGGGATAGAGTCTTGAATGGGAGCCATGGGTCCCTGCCTGGCTCTGCTACAGCCTGTATCTGGAAGATGACAGGATGTTTTGGCCAGTTAGGGTTGCAGTCAGTATGGTTTTCTCAGTAAGGGCCACATCCACAGGGTAGCCTACCTGTCCTGACAGAAAAAGTGTCATTTGGGGCAAGGAATTGGAGCCCACGTATCTATTTGGGGAAGGTCTCTAACTCTCATCAGCCCAAGAGTCCAGCCCAATCCCAAAGAGACATCCAACCTGTGGATGGGCTTGCAGTTTCCAGAATGACAGCTTGAAAGCCTAAGACCTCTGCAGGATCAAGGGAGTGGGGACTGGGGAAAAGACTGTCCTGGCAGGAGAAAGAAGTGCTGGGGCAGGGTATGGAAGAGAGCAGGACTAATCCTGGCTCACACCCCTGTCTGTGGAAAACATCTCCTGACACCCAGTCCGGCTCCATTTTCCAAAGTACTCGATCCTGCCTTACCACCACCTGCCAGGCCCTGCACCTTCCTTCTCTCATTCCCCTACCCACCCAGGGCAGTCTAATGGACTGTACAAGAACCAGGAATTGGAAAGGAACCAAATTCTGGAATCCAAGTGAGTTGAGTTAGAAGAACAATAAATATTATACAAAGTGCACTACACGGTCATATTATACCAGTTGCACTAAACAGTCATGAAACATCAGACATTCTGTGAACTGTGACCATTTTACAGAAAAGGAGGCTGAGGATCAGAGATGTTGAACATCTGCCCAAGATTTCTGCAAGTTAGTGGCGGAACAGGCTTGAATTTCATCTAGCTGATGAGTTCAATTTCTAAAAATCTAGAACAGCGTCACTAGCTCAGATATTTGCCAAGACCACTTAGGCAATATGGACATTAAGTTAGCTGTGTGGGGGACTGTGAGGCTCTGTTAGACCTCATGACCTAACTATAATTCAGCTACAGCTGATCGCTATGTTGTGAGCATGGTGGGGCCACATCTCCCAGGTTTTCAGGAAGATCTAGAATTAAGATATTAATAAGAAATTTTAAAAATTGGCAACTGATTCAATTTTCTTTACAAACACTTACTGCATGAACCAAGAAAAACATGGTTGTATGCCCATCTGCAACTTCTGGTCTAGGATGTGTTAGATATAATAAAAACGGCAAGCACCTGTGCTGAGCTTACTACTGGCCTTCCACTGTTTATAAGGTGGGCTGTGAGGGAGCTCTGGCAAGAAGCTGCACTGCAATCCTGAAGGTACGCGGTTCAAATCCACCAGATGCTCTGCTGGAGAAGGAAGAGCAATCTCCTCCTGTGCCAGTTGGCTTGAATTCGATGGTACACAACAAAAAGACCGGGCTTTTCACATGCTTAAAAACCCTAGGTAGGGTGGTATTATTATTACTCTGCATTTGCGAGATGATCAAGTTTAGGCACGGAGAGAATGACATCACTGGCTTGTAGTTGCATGGTTTGTCCAACTGACATCTGAACCCAGGCAGCCCAGCTCTAGAATCTGTGCTCTTTAAACCCTTATCACAAGTTAAGACTGTCAGGAACATTCTCAGCAGCCAGGTGGGGAAACAGGCCCAAAACAGGACAGAATCTTGCCAGTTCGTTCACAAAGTAAAGGTTACATACGCTGGGCCAGGCACTGTTCTAGTTCGTGTTGTATCCCAACAGGCACAAAACAAGCAAATGAAGACCTTGTGGAGGGGCTTTCTGGGCACTCACTCCGTTTCCTGTTGTCCTCACAGGTGGCCATGGTAGAGGTACAGCTGGAAAACAAACATGAATACCCACCGGGCCTGCTAGTGGCCTTCAGTGCCTGCACCACCGTGTTGGTAGCTGTGCACCTCTTTGCGCTCATGGTCTCTACATGTCTGCTGCCGCATATTGAAGCCGTTAGCAACATCCACAACCTCAACTCGGTCCACCAGTCACCACATCAGCGCCTCCACCGCTACGTGGAATTAGCCTGGGGATTCTCCACTGCCTTGGGTACCTTCCTCTTTCTTGCTGAAGTTGTCTTGGTTGGTTGGGTCAAGTTTGTACCCATTGGGGCTTCTTTGGGCACGTCAGCTCCTGCGGTACCTACCCCCCAGATCCCTGGGACTCTGCCACCAGTGACTACCTCTCTTAGCCCAACTTCCAAAGTCCCACAGTCCTCAGATTCTGTTGCCCCATCACAGGTGGGGTCACCTGAGCCTTGCCCACCCCGACAAGTGTGTAGTGGTGGTGGTGAGAAGGGCCATGGACCAGGCTGGCAAGCAGCCATGGCCTCCACCGTGATAATGGTACCTGTTGGGCTTGTGTTTGTGGCCTTTGCCTTGCATTTCTATCGCTCTCTGGTGGCACACAAGACTGACAGGCACAAGCAGGAGCTAGAGGAGCTGAGTCGCCTGCAGGGGGAGCTGCAGGCTGTGTGATGCTGTCCTTAACCTCTGTCAAACCTTCTGGCAAGCACTGTCTCCCTAAAGGATACACAAGAGGTCTGAGAGGCCTATGGACTTAATAATTCCCTGCCCTGACTTAAGCCACCTCCTGTGACTGCTCTCAGGTAGAGCCCAGATTCCTGCTGGATTCAGGGTCCTTTGGGCTGGACCTTCGGCAGTTCCCCACATTCCCAGGGAAGGGTTTTGTAAACTATGTCTTGGCTCCCAGGGACAGGGGAGGAAGGGCACAGTTCTTGGTCCAAGACTCATGGTAGGTAAAGGAAGACCGTGGTCAGAACTTGGTACTGACCCTCAGCTACTTGCTGCTCCACTGGATGTGGAGATCGAGAGGTTCCAGTCCCACGAAGCTGCTCCAGAAGACAGCCAACTCCTGCTTGATTTTTGTAGAATTTTATAGATGGCAGTTTTAGGAAAGCTTTTCCCATCCCTGACTTGGATAGGTTCCACACTCCCAATTTAGTTGCTGCAGTGAGATATTCGAGTACTTCTATCCCAGGATAGGCCCAACCTTTCCCAGAAAGAGCCTTCCTACTTGTTCAGGTTCAAGTCCACCCTCCACCTTTGGTGACCTGTGGGCATAGGGAGAAGAGGCAGGGCCTCTCCCACTGCCCAAGGCCCACATTTTTGCTTCCATATCTGATTTTTACCCTTTTGGGCCAGGGCTGTGGGTCTCTGAAGACTACTGAGGGCCGGTGTGCCCAGTCCCAAACAAGGGTTGGGGTGGAGACATTTTAAGGGAGAAGATCCAGCTCAAACCCTTGGAATGTAGAGCTTTTCTGACACTGATTTCTTGACAGCATCTTGTTTTGTATAATAAAATGTTTCACAAATGTTCCTGTAACTGTAAATGCTTTTGGGATCAGGTGACTTGTTCCTCATGGATGGGGAAGGGGGGAGAGGGAGTAGGTTTCAAGTGCAGCCCTGTCTGGTGTTGGCAGACACTAACTGCTTCTTAAGGAGGCAGAGTGACTCCAAAGTCAAAAGCCTTTGAACTCTTGTTCCTGTAGCTTAGGGGCCCTCTTTCTCCAACTTGGGATTTGGGATAAGTTTCTTGAGACTTTCTACCTTTTAATCTTCACAACCACTTCAAGAGACAAGCCTTATCATTTCTGCCTTTCAGAGGTAAGGAAACTGAGGCCCAGGAAAACAGTCTCTCCCCTAATTTCACACATTTAGAACTTTAACAAACTTTACCATCACTCAGTGGAATGCTTTTTGTTATATTTGACTAAAACCATTCCATTTCAGCTGAAAAGAATCTCATCACTATGTAAAATTTCTTTTTTTCAACGTCATTTCCCCCAAACATTTAAAGGCTCTCAGTCCTCTATTAATCTTAGAATCTTGTGGTCTGAGTCCTTGGATAAGTCCCCGTCTCCTAACCTAAAGTTGTGAAAGGACATGAATGAGTACCAAGGGCCTTTCCTGAATTGTTCAGATACCTACCATGTCCTGTGTAATAGGAATTAACATTCTTTTTTTTTTAATTTTTTTTTATTGGGAAAAACATATTGGGGGTACAAGGAGGTGAGGGTTGGGGGCAGAAGGGTGAGGATGGGCCAGGATGCAGTTGCAGAGCTGCACAGTTTGGTCGGTGGGGGGAGCAGGTGAAGGAAATGAGGGTCCAGTGGGGACCAGATGCTACAGAGGAATGACAAGCATTTTCCAATAGTAATTAAACCAACTGTCTTACTGATTTGGGAATTGGATGCTGACTCTCTGGCTTCTTCATGCTGAACAGGGGCGTAGATATAAAGGGGGGAAGGGAGGACGCTTTATCACCTTACTGGTGGTCTTGGGTTACAGCTGCTTGCCTTCTTGCTCCTGAGGGCTGCGACGGTTCGCCCTGAGCCGGGGGCCAAGCGCAGCCCGCCCCAGGCAGAAGGCCACAACGGCTCGCCCCGGGCCGGGGGCCGAGGGCAGCCCGCCCAGGGCAGAGGGCCGCAACGGCTGAAGTAGTCTTTTTTTAAAAAAAGAAGAAGAAAATGTGTGTGTGTGTGTGTGTGTGTGTGTGTGTGTGTGTGTACCGTCAAATTGGATCTGACTGGTACAGGAGACTGCCCCTCCTTCTCCAGCAGAGCATGAAGTAGAGTCTGGGGTTTCCCCCCCCCCAGGTGCCTGTCGGGGCCTGGGTTTCAGCTGTCCATACCACAGCAGTGGGCAACAAGCTTAAAGCCCCTGATTGCTCTGGGCGCTGACTCTCACCAGTGGTTATGGATGAAGTCACAGGCGATTTTGAATTAACATCCCTTTTTAAAGGAAGTGTCAAGTTGGGGTCAATGACTTGTCCCCCTGACGGATGTTCTCAGCTGAGGCAGAAGGCCCTCAGTGGGAGGGCTGTTCTCTACCTAGGGTTCTGCATTCAAGACAGTGAAAAAGGTATCTGGCAGGATCTGGGGAGACTCCAGTTCCAGGATCCCTGATGGAAATTTGGGCTGTAGCTGCCCTCCAACTGCGGGAATGTGTGAGCAGAGGAGCCTGAAACTAAAAACGTTGAGGCACCAGAACCAAAATACCTGGAGAAGCGACCAGCCCAATCTTGTTCCTGTAGGTTATCTTTCACAAGATTCATTTAATGATCTTAGATCCTGCCAGGGTTTCCAGAGAATCCCAAAAGAGGTCCGGATTTGACCACTGAAGATGGGCTTGGAGTTGTTGTTGTTGGGCTGGGGGTAGTTGTTGTTAAGTGCAGGTAGGTTCGGAACCGAATCATAGTTGCCCCTCCAGCACATTTTCAGACGCTGTAAACTGCACAGGAAGCCACTGCCATCTTTCTCCTTGCGAACAGCTAGCTGGTGGGCTCGAACCGCTGCCTTTGAGTTTGCTGCGCAACTCCTGACCATTAAGCCAACCACAGCTCCCCTATGATGGGCTGGAGCACCAGCAAAACGCCATACCTCTGCAGGGCTGTCTCCCCCCCCCCCCCCCCAACCTGCCAAAAAGAGCTCTTAGACAGAGGCCCGAGGATGATAACGGTACAGGGACCGATCCCTATATCCCTATATTCTGTGCGGCGCCGGGCAAACGGCCTGAGTCACCGCCGCTGGTTGTATTTTTCCACTTTCGGGACACCCCTCCCCGCCACCACGGGCTCGGTGGGACCGACAGGAAGCGCCCTACTGTGCCGGGCTCGGCATGCTCTGGCCACGCCCCTCGGCGCGCCGCGCGCTGGCCCCGCCCACAGCGGGAGCGCAGATTCGCCAGACCCGCTCCTCAGACCTGCTTGAGCCCCTTTTACTTGACTGCAGATTCTCTTCGGACTCCGAGAGGGAGCTGTGGGCCGTAGCCATTTCTTCCTACATCTAACTTGAGCTAGTCTCTGCGTTGTGCTAGTAAGAGAGAGCCAGAAAAAGTAGGACCTGCCAGGAAGGCAGGTTTGGCTAACTGGGCGTTATTTTCTTGATTCCACCAAAGTGGGTGAAGGAAGGTGGCAGCTGGGACCAGGACCCGTGGCGAATCTGCGGACTCTGGGACCTTTGGCCGTGCGAAGAAAGGACAGGGAAGAGCGAAAGGAGCGCGCATGTTAACCACCAATTGGCCCCGCCCGCCTGACGAATCTGCGTCTGCTCAACGCAACACTCAAACCTCCTCGTCGCTGGCTGGTCTCTTCGTCTCAGTCCCGCCCCTCAGTTCTCAGGAACTAGTCACAGCTTTGGTCGTCGCCGATTCGTCAAGGCACCCAGGCCGGAGCAGCTGGTTTCCAGTGGTGAAATCCACTCCTCGGGGGATGCGGCCAATCTCTAAGCAAGCTGGGCCGCAACTTCTGAGCCTTTTAGGGTGCAGGCCGAGGCGAGGCCGCTACCCTTGGCCTTGTAGATCTCCTGACAGCGCTTGTGGCGAAAGTGCAAATGCAGACGCTGTGCCCACTGGGCCTCACGCAGGTGG